ATTTTGAGTTTTTAAAAATATGTGATTGTTCAGCGTATATCATCGATGGTTCAATGGACCATCGATGGTTTCATGTAGTTCATCAATGGTTTGATTTTAACTTTCTGCAGTTTCTTCGATTGTTTATTATAGACCATCGATGAGCCTTGACCATCGACGATTAACTGTAAATCACCGATGATTCCAAGGTTAAAATAAACATAAATACTGATTTTTTGCATCATTTCGCCTTGTAACCTTTGCGTATTTGTTTTCAACTGTATTAGATCATCCCAAACAAATATTAGTATCAAAAGAGAGATTGTTATTACTCAAATAAGAGCTATTGTATGGACTCCGTCCTAACACTTCTCACTTTTTTTTTGAAAGGAAGAAGCAGGGTGAGAACCCCTGCTCATATATTTATATAACTATAGGACCAAAACTGTGGTAAATATATACAAATGGACACTTAAAGAGGAAGAAAAGGAGTCATGAGAAGAAATTTTCGGATGGAAGTGGACCTTGTCGTCACCAACCAGAAAGTTTCTCCACTGACTCTTAACTTCCTAGAGAGGAAAACGAAACAAAAAGAAAGCCACATCAGGGGAAAGATCGGGGTTTAGCTAAGTTATTACAAAAGATCGAACTAAAAGTAACCAAAAGCAAAAGATCCAGAGAAGCCACCACTTGAAAGCACTAGGATTAGCTGGGAAAATTCTCTCCCATATTGTCCTTCGAACCGGATTTGGCCCGCTGATTAAGACCCAGCTCAACCGCAGCGCTGTGCAAAATGGTAGCTCTTTTGCTACTGGAGGCACCTGTCCACAAAAGAGTGAATTGAGCCATATTAGCAGCTATAACATGAATAGGTGTATGAACCTTTTCGAATATGAGCTTATTCCTGCAATACCATAACCATCAACAACAGCAGGGAAGGATGACTTTCCATAAGGATTTGATGTTCTTGTTGAGGAAGAAGTCACCTTGAGCAGAGATGAGTGAGTCAATCACCTCCGGCCAGTTCCCAAACTGTCCATTAGGGAAGAGAAGGGACCAAACTGATCTGGTGAAGGAACAATCATTGAACAAGTGATCGTGGGTTTCTATGTCTGTACTGCACATGGGGCATATTGTATCCCCTGACCAACCCTTTTTAGCTAAAACATCTCTTGTGTTTAATTTATGTAGACTCAAAGACCAAAAGAAAATCTTCACCTTAAGTGGAGTGGGCGACTTCCAGATGAAATTATAAAGGTGGGAGATAGATCCTCCTGAGTTAAGAAAAGAGTAGAGAGCTTTTACAGTATACTTGCATGAATGGTGATGGTACCAGAAAATCTCATCTCCCTTGGAAACTACAGGAGGATTAACTGACTCAAGCTTACGATATAGTTATTCGATCTGATATCTGTTTTCCTCTGAAACGCCTCTTCTGATAATGGGGTGCCACTTCCAGAAATTGTTGATGAAAAGGCCATGACTACTGGTGGCAGAGGAATTTACAAAGGCAAGCTGATGACCTCTGGAGAACAAACTACTGAATGTGTTATCTCCAAACCATTTATCTTGCCAAAATCTACAAAGATTTCCATCCCCCAATCTCCATCGAACCAAATGAAAGAAAGGGTCATGAATAGAGAATAAATCCTTAATCAATTTAGAAGCTGATGATCTAGGGGGGTAAGTAATAGGATTAGAACCATTAACGAAGTATACAGACATGATCACTTTACCAATATAGGAATTTCGGTCAAGGATCTTCCAAATCTATTTAGATAGCAAAGCTAAATTGAAAGGTTGCAGATTTATGACACCTAATCCCCCTTCAGTCTTAGCTTTGCACACTGTACCCCAGTTAATCAAGCTTTTAGATTTAGAAGAATGTTTGTAGGAACCCCAAAGAAAATTGCGTCTAATTTTATCCATAGCCTTGAGGAGCTAACTAGGGAGTTTAAAAATGACATATAATATACAGGGAGGGAGGATAGAACAGAATTCATCAGGGTAAGTCTCCCCCCTATGGATAGGGACTTATTTTTCCATAAAGCCAACTTTCTAGAGAAATAATCTAGAAGAGGTTGTCAATCCTTTCTAGACAAAGATCCTTTTTTGAGAGGGAGGCCAAGATAAAAGAATGGAAGAGAACCGTTAGAGAAATTGAGCTTATGAGCCAAATGAGCACCTCTACTTGGAACTTTCCCAAGGTAGAAGAGGGTGGATTTGGATGGATTGATGTGGAGACCAGAGATGCTTCCAAACATGAGAATGATAGATTTGAGGGTGAGAATGTCTCTGTTGTCAGCTTTACAGAAAATAAGGGTGTCATCGGCAAATTAGAGAGACCTAATAGAGTTCAGCTCTCCTTTAAGATTAAGGTCCGAAAGATCACCAACAGAGTAGCTGGCTGAGATCATCTTATTAAGCACATCCACCACCAACAGAAAGAGCATAGGCGAGAGGGGGTCTTCCTGTTTTAGACCACGATGACATTGAAAAAAGGAGGATGGGTAACCATTAACAAGAACTGCTGATTTGGAAGAGGAGAGGATATGGGAGATCCAGAGACACCATCTGGGGCTGAATCCTCTGGCTTTAAGGAGAGAGAAAAGAAAACTCCAATTTACACAATCAAAAGCTTTGAAGAAGTCTACTTTAATTGTGCAAAGTTTCTTTTTCCCTAAAGAGCAGCTATTGATCATTTCGTGAGCAAGAAGGACAGAGTCTAGGGAAGATTTGCCTTTTTGAAAAGCTGATTGAGACTGATCGACCAGAGAAGGGATAAGGGCCTTGAGACGATTAGCTAGGATTTTGGTGAAGATCTTAACAGAACTGTTAAGGAGGCTAATGGGTCTAAAATCAGATGCAGAACTTGCCCCTTCCTTCTTAGGAATGAGGCAAATAAAAGAAAAATTAATGTTGTGAAGGGGTCTAGCATCAGGAAAAGAGATTGGATGAAGGATATGACATCATGTTGGATAACAGGTCAGAATTTATGAAAGAACCGCATTGGAAGACCATCCGGTCCTGGAGATTTATCTGGGTGAAGGTCAAAAACAGCCTTGTGGATTTCTTCTGAGGAAAAAGGATCATCCAAAGAGGACAGACAAAGGGGATTGGAGGGATAAAGATAATTCCAATTAACACTGAGTTTAGAAGCTGGTTGCTCACTAAAAAGATTGGAGAAGAAATCCCGAAAAACATGTTTGATATCCATAGCAGAAGACAGGGTTAAATTATTATGAAAAAGGTATGAGATGAAATTAATTCTTCTACGATGGGAAGCTACTCTGTGAAAGAAAGCAGAATTATTATCTCCCTCTTTAAGTCATTTGATCCTGGATTTTTGCTTCCATTTAACCTCTTCTTCTTTGGCTAAAGAGAACAATAAATCTCTAAGGTCAATCTAGAGGCAAGTTCAGGGGTAGAGAGAGGTCTGATTTCTTCAAGGAAGTTAAGATGATGAAGGTCGGAAGAAGCTTTAGGTTTAGACAGGGATAAGTTGCCCAGAACGTTTTTGCCCACCACTTGATTCTTCTTCTTATTAGTTTGATTTTAAGAGGCAAAGGGGCAGGGAGATCGCCTTGAACGGAGAAAGAAGACCAACAAGATTGAATAAAAGGAAAGAAAGATTGGTGGATGAGCCATGTGTTTTCCATCCTGAACACTTTGGGAGGAGGAGGAGGACCCCTTGAGTCCGGAATGATGGGGCAATGATCTGAGCATGAGGAAGGAAAGGCAAATTGAACCAGGAGTGGGAATTTGGATTCAAAGTCTTGAGATATAAGAAATATGTCTAGCATTGCTAGAGAAGGATTAGCTCTGAAATTTGACCAGGTGAACTTCCTTCCACTGAGGGAGAGGTCCAAAAGATCGATAGGGTTAATGAGGGAGTTAAAGGTAGAGATCTCCCTGATGGAGCCAGTTCTAACACTCCTCACTTTAAACTGGGAGTTTTGATGGAGTAAAAGAATCCTTTGATATGATATCAAAATATACTTTCCACTGGTTTACAAATTTAACAGCAAATCACGAGAATGATAACTACTCAGTTGAAGGTATACTAGAGCATAAAATTAAACCTCATCTTTCAAAATTTTGATGTAATGGACTGAAACTTTGATAATTATCGTTCGAATTCAGTTTAGAATCTATAACACTGCTCAAATTACCAAGAAATTTGAGAAGCAGTGTTTTGATGTAGCTGTTTTTACATTTTCTAACAAAGTTGTTTTATTTTACCATTGTTTCCTTCAATCATCTCAACATTTGTTTCAGTTTCATCACCGTTCCTTTCTCGAAAACACTAGTTCCGATTGATCATGGAGTTCAACGGTATTTATATGTTCATTTCATTCAGATATTTTATTATCAGATATTTTCTTGAGCACAATAGCGATGTACGATATTTATGTATGTGGTGAGGGGGAGACGTTTCAAATTCGGACTGTCGTCTCAAATCAGTGCGGGTGAATAATTGTGAAGATTTTGATGTTGTGGGCCCATTCGACACGTTATAACAAAGGTTCATAATTCCGGAAATATTTGTTAAAAGTCTAAAATTGTTAGAGATGGAAAATTTTATGTCTAAAATTTTCACCAAGAATATAGGGAAGGGAGAGAAGATCCAAAATGCGTAACATTTAATTGGCAAGTAAAACCCTTCCTTGTGCTCTTATAGTTTTCACTCTCTCTCGGTTTTGATACATGAGAAACAAGGAGGAAGTTTAAATCACGAGAAATATTTGATATACTTTTACTCTAGAATGCTGCCGAGCCAATGTAACAAATGCGTCGATCTTGTTACTTGACGATACCCGAAAATATCTGTTCGATTAGAAAAGCAGGGATACTGATTGTTGGGCAATGACCAAGTACCTAAATTGACTACTCCCTGGTTTCAGCTCACAGATTACTTTTTCCATAAATTATCTCTCAGTTTAGAAATTCAGAAAAAGGGAAAACTATGGGATAAGAGAGCAGCCACCCAGAGAGCCGTAAACTAGGAGCCAAGGTCTATAAAACTCTCAAATAAAACCAACTACACCATCTATAAGAGAAGCTGTAACTAGCATCCTTTGAACCGGTTCGAGCTCATCTTCTCAAGCGTGCGCTTCCTTTGCTCTGAGAGCTAATCCAATATGACAGACGCAACGAATATCGAAGAGAGAAAGATAGTAGTCGCAGTAGACGAGGGCGAGGAGAGCATCTATGCCCTCCAGTCGTATCTTCGCAATTTTACCTCCAACAACGCTCGCCACACGTTCGTACTCCTCTACGTACGGCCTCAGCTCCCGGTGTATAACATGTATGGTTCAGGTACGTATGGCACACAAATTAGACAGATCCCCAGTACTATCGCTATCTGTAACTTAGCACTCCTGTAGTTCCGTTATCGCATACTGACACCCTGGGTTAAAATTTTCCACCCATGGGCATGTCTTTCCGAATTTCATTTGCACGTAGACTCCCAGTTATATCTGTCTTTAACTTACCACTCTCGTAGTTCTCCATTATTGCGGATAGATTCCCTGGGTTAAATCTCTTCACCCATGGACAATTTCTTTCAAATTTTCACTCAAGGTAAGAGTCAACAAAAGATAATAGTAATAATAACCTCAAGAGGTTCTACCTGCAACAATGAAATGAAACTAGGAATATAGTACGTTTCGAAACGGATGATACTACAGGGAGTATGTCTGCAATTAACCGAACGAGTTATATACGTGGTATATCAAGCATATGCTGCATCTGATTTGTATGGTTTGGTCTGGGATTGCAGGATCATTGTTTTCTGATGCAGAAATTGAATCCTTAGACAAATACAGCAGACACTTAGCGGGTTCAGTCTTGGGAAGGGCTGTGGACATCTGCCGAGGCTACAGCAATGTAAGGGATTTTAATCAAAAAAATTAGTTTAAAGTTTGGGAGCATGTTTAAAGTTCGGGAGCATGACAATTGGTTAAATTTTCCGAATTTTTTCCTCATTAGATTGAAGTTGAAGCGAAAGCCTATGATGGGGACGCAAGAGAGGTGATTTGTAAAATGGTTGAGAACCTCGGGGCTCATGTTCTGGTCATGGGAAGCCACGGCTATGGCATCATTAAAAGGTAAGGAATAGAATTTACGGCTAATTGCGGATAGCCCCCAAGTACTACTCCCGTTCTGTTGCAGATAGAACCCATGAGTGAAATTGTTCGACTCTTCTCGAAAGAAGAGAGCTCTTTTCAACAAAAAGACCTCTAGCGGGTAAAAGAGTCAAAAAGATTTCACATGGGTTCCTATCTGCAACAACATACGCAACAATATAACTACGAGAGGCATATCCCAATTGGTTGATAGTATAGGGAGTCTACCGGGAATTAAATCTTAGAACTTAAAGATTGAGTTCTTTATGCTTATTGAATATGTCCATCTGATGATTATTTTGTGCTGTACGTAGGGCTCTCATCGGAAGCGTGAGTGATTACTGTGCTCGAAATGCAAAGTGCCCGGTTGTGATCATAAAGCGTCCCATGAAGTGAGAGCGCAAGTTGTGGCCTTAAAGCATGTATTATATGTCCATATGCAATGTCAATAGTAGTTTAAGGAGTGGTTCTGTAGGCTGGTTGACATGATGAAGATAATATCGAATGCAGCTATCGTAACAACGCTCACCTGCGTAATATCAAGCGCAAACAGCAGACATACAACTAATATGCTTGTCAGCTTAAATCACTTCAAGCGCTACTCAGGTTTCTAAGTCATGAAATAATATTATCTCCAGTAGTAGTGAATACCTAAAAAATGCTGCCAACAGAATGATTCGAGAGCTCTTAACGAGGAGACAACCGAAGAAGAGACATTCGCATCACATGTACGGGCAGATACAATGATTTGAACCAAAATGTGCAGCCTTAAAATGGTTAGATACCAAAGTCAAGGAGCATGCACCTGCAAACCAAAAACTGAGCAAGCAAAAGCAATAGTAATTCAATTAACTCCTGACTGTTCTAATTGCCCAGTAAATTCAAACAGACACTAATCAATACAAACTTCAAATTCAGATTCTACAATCTATGACACATTTCAAATACATTTAAAAAAAAAGGTTTGGAGGAGTTGGAACAAGTGTTTTTTCGGTTTGAGGAGGGAACTCCACCATAATCCTTCAGACCAGATCATGGGCAATGTTACATTAAACGCTGGGCGCTCCTAGGCGCCGGACTTGGCGCCCAGCGCTTAGACGTCTAGGCGGGCGCCTAAGCGGTTTCTGGGCGGTTTTTTTCTTTTTTCTTTTTTTTTTAATTGTGATACTTGAAGATATATACTCAATCAACATTGCAACTTATTATTGTTCTATTTTGTAGGTCAAAAACAACAACTTCATTCGTTATTGCTGTAACTATCACTACAAGGTGAATGCGGGGATTCATGTACAGTTGTAATCTTTGAACAATAATCTTTGAACAAATGCAGTCCTGTTGGACAAATGTAATCTTTGAAGTTTGAACAAATGCAGTTGTAATCTTTGAACAAATGCAGTCCTGTTGGACAAATGTAATCTTTGAACAATTAAACTTTGAACAACCTTGAACAACAAGAATTACTTATAAACTTAAAATAAACTTAAAATTAAACTTAAACAATTAAACAGCCCCATGATTACATACGCGTGAACAGTGAACACTTACTCGTGAACTCAACCCGAGTTGGATACAAATCCATGAAATGAAGTACATAGCAGGACACCATATCCTCTACTTCTGTTTTTTTAGCACGATTAATTTTTCTAGTATGACCAAGTTAAATCAAAGTTAAACCTAAACAATTAAACTTAAACTTTAGCACGATTAATTTACACTTTCTCTTTCAAAATTCTGAGATTTACTATTTAAACTTAAACAATTAAACTTAATATAATATAAATATATTAAGTTAACATTTAATAAATGCATTTGACAGTCTGCTAAACTTTAGTCTTTAGTCCTTTACTTACAGATAGAAGTCGGAGAAGAGATAGACGACGATAGAAGTCGGAGAAGAGAACGACGAGCTCGAATACGAGCTCCCAGTTGAAGACGAGCTCGAAAGTTGAGCTCGAACTCAAAGACGAGCTCAAAAGTTGAGATCGAACTCGAAGACGAGCTCCCAGGAAGGATCGAAGACGAGCTCGACGAGATCGAAGACCAGATCCTAGGTTGAAGACGAGCTCGACGAGATCGAAGACCAGATCCCACGTTGAAGACGAGCTCGGAAGTTGTGCTCGAAGACGAGATCTCTTGTTGAGATTGAAGACGAAGACCAGATCCCACGTTGAAGACGAGCTCGGAAGTTGTGCTCGAAGACGAGATCTCTAGTTGAGATTGAAGACGAGAGCTCCCAGGTTCGAATATGAGCTCGACGAGATTGAAGACGAGCTGGCGGCGTGGAGAGTGCGATTAGGGTTAGTTTTTCTTCGTTTGCATTTTAGGTTTGGGCTTTGGGTTACGGGTTTTGGGTTTGGGTTTTTCAGCGCCTGAGGCGTTTTTTGTTTGAAATTGTGAGGCGGGCCGCCTAAGCGGCCCGCTTAGCCTTGGGCGGCCGCCTAGGCGCCTCCAGCGCCTAAACGTGGCCGCTCAGGGCATTTTTGCACGCCCTGGGCACCGCCTCCGCCTAGGCGGGCGCCTAGGCGGCCGCCCAGACCGTTTTTTAGAACACTGATCATGGGTATCAAAAACCCAGACGTGACTATGTGTCAGGTATTCCAAGAAACTAAAATTCCTATGCGTGCTCTCCAAATAAGAGGCACCTCCCAATGCATGGCATCGGGTACTTAAGGAAATTATATTCCTTTGGGTGCTCTCCAAGAGAGTAGAACCTGAGACCTTCGCCCATGTTGTTCCAACACTTCGGTGTTGAAAAACTCTTGAAATCGAGTGTTGCTCCAACACCTCCATTTTTGTCTTATTTTGTTCTTGCAACAATCTTTTTGTGTTGTAACAACATTAAACCAAACAAGACCTTTGAACTACACCAAACCAAACACTGATTCACCAACTTGCTCCAAATCCCTACTAGATTAAAGGCTATCCCAAGTCCACAATGTCCTGCTAGCATGCATATCATTGCAATACAGCATCTGCACAATCACTGAGATAAAGCAAGCTTGTGATTGTTCCTCGTTATCCAAATTAGCTAAGAATTTCGAAAGATAAATTGTATGGCATCAGAAATAATTATATCAGGAAGTTTGACACTTACAACCTAACTAAAAGAATAAAGTCAAAATTGAAACCAGTTATGAGTTACCCGAGAAAAATTGCAGTGTCCTGATATCATTCATAGGTGTTTCTCATACAACCCCCTTAACTTTTAAAATATCACAAACTTCCCCTTACAATTATCTCCTTCCATAACTTTACCCACCCATGTGAAAATCACAGTTAACAACATAAGGGCAGATTTTATTTTATTTTATTAATGCTGAAAGTTGAAGGGGATATTCTGAGAACCCTAAGAATTAAGGGGATTTTTGTGACAATTTAAAGTTACGGGGTTATCTGAAAAATGCACAAACCAATGGGGGCTTTCTGAAATTTACTAAAAAAAACATCAACATGTGCGTGGCTACTGTATGTCAATTCGTTATAACTACATTACAATTGAAGGCGCAAGACTGTATGTAACGAGTCAATTGTGAAACATTTAACTCATGAGTAGCTCTGACACCTAATATATAAACTAATTGCTAAAATGTTCACCTCTCAGTGTTAAAATATAAAATTATAAACCTTTAAAGATGGAAATTTTGGTGCAGTTAGGAACATTAAGATGGTACCACAGCAATGAAAGTTTCAAATACCCACCAGCCGAGTATTTAAAGCAAATTAGAAAGGTATTATTGTGTGAGTTCAGATTGTGGAAAGACGCTTAAGCTATGGGTTAGAATAACCTTCATACCTCAATACAATTTCGGAGTTTTGGTGTAAGAGAAAGATCCTTCTAAGATTTGGGTTACCAAAAATTTTTAATATGCCAAGGTAGCATGTAAGACATTCTGCTATACCCTTCAAATGCCTATACAGGTTGCAAGCATAGCAGTAATGACAACTTAAGAAGCTGGACACAGGATCATCTCACTATGTCCGGCTTTCAAAGATTATTTGAAGAGCACATTCATCGAAACACGGTAATAGAAAAACCTCAACTCTCCTCTGTAAAGACAGCATGCAATACCACATTTAAATACATCTCCAGTTTTTCAGTTACGCAAACTGTATTACGGCCCTTGCGAACAGAGTAAAAATGTAGCTCGCCGTAATATAACTAATACAGTTTACAGCTTAATTAAATAGAAACATTTCAAATCAAATATGATTATAAATATGACCAAACTCAACTAAATTCGCATCACAAATGTTGATAATTCCATCTGACATTTAAGTATATGTATTTGATTCACCATTTCCATCTAACCAGTCAAACCCAACATCCAAAATGTATAGGAGACTAGGAGGTTTCTAAAAGTTACCAATAGCAAAAATAAAAAATAAAAAAATTGATCCTCATTACGATATCAGAGTTAATATAAAATAAAAAATTTTGATCCTCGTTACAATATCAGAGTTCTGGAAACCTCCACTCCCCTTAGCGAACACGGTATGCGACGCTACATTAGAAGACATTTCCAGTTCTTCATAAATAACTTTATCACTTCCGTCATGAGCGGCAAAACAATGTAGAACACTATAAATAACTAATACAAGTTATCTTAATTAAATAGAAATGATATTTCATATCATTAAGTATGAACTAATACTTACACAGTCTGCAAGCACAAGTGTTATAAAATTTGATCTCTCGAATCTGATTCCCCGTTTTCATCGATATACTCAATTATCATGTCCATGTAACCGTTGTAAACATTACATTGGAGGGCTATATAAGTTTCTCAATTATGTCAGTTATTAAAGACTAATGAAACTAAATTGAACCAAAGCACTAACAAACAATATGCAACCACAGTCGAACTAAAATTAACAAGGAAACTATGAAAACCCGGAATAGGTCTAATGCGAAATGATGTAATTACTCAAACATCCCACAATTCAGCAGTAGCATATTAAAAACATAAGCATAAGATCAATCGTTAATCCAACTTTTAAGGAAACATAAGATATCAAATTAAAGCATAATATCAACGAAACGTAGAACCTAACACTGTTCAAGCTCTACTCCTCTTTCTCAGATCCAGACCCTCCGTTCGCCTTGTTGTGCTTCCTCGCGTACCTCTGATTCCTCAAGAACTTAGGGTCCATCTGTTCAGTAATCAACAAAAACAACGACAAATCAGTAACACTTTGTAAGATTTCACACAAAAAAGAGAAGAATAAAAATCAAATCTTTGATGGCATCGAGATGATTACCCCTTTGGTTGAGGAGTTCCTGTGCTTCCTGGGTTTCTTTATGCCGTTCTTGTGGGCCTTGTAGGACTGGTTGTGGGCCGTGTGGTTCTTCGACTTCGCCATTGAAACCCTAGGGAAGCGCGGAGAAGGCGAAAGATTTGAGAAGGCGATGAATGATTCAGAGTTAGGGTTTTACAGAGAGACGGAGGATGATAGAAGACGATACCTGAGATGAAGGAGCTCTGTGTCTTCAGAGCGGCTGGGTCGATCTAGGGTTAGGGTTTTGCTGAAAATGGGGAGGCTTGGTTTTATTGTTGGAATGAGTTGAATTTTGTTGGGCTGGAATAAAAAGCACTTTGCGTTATGGCCCAAATAAGTGTCGCTGCATTCGTTGTTGGGCTTAGGGCTGTACAAACGGTCTGTTGGTTCGGTTTTTATCAAATTTTAAAAAACCGAACTGAACCACTCATTATTCAAAATCGAACCGAACTGTTGCAAATCAGTTTGGTGCGATGCAGTTCGGTTCGGTTTGTTCGATTTTAATTTGTGAGAATGTGTATTTTTTATGATCTAATTTGTAGTCCCCTGGAAATCTAATTTTAATCATAAAATCTAATTAAACTAATTATTTCTCACTAATCTACAATTTAATAGCATGCATCAAGAGCTAAAAAGTTTAGATCTTTCCCCCTAAAACTGAAAGCGTAAATTTAAAATTAGGGTCTTCACATTATACCTCCACTACGGGTGTGGGTGTCCCCAAAGCAGGAGATGGATCCTGAGGAGGTGGTTCAGCCTCGACCATGAAGACGATGATGAGTAGCTGCTTGGCGGCGAGTGAAGGAAATTCAAGTCGGCAGTTGTAAGAAATTGGAGTCAGTGATGAGGCGGCGAGTCAGAGGCGACGACGGCGAGTCGTAGGCGACATTG